GGTCCCTGAAGCCATTCTGTGACTCAGTTTCAATCCTCACAGCCATAATCCATCCCCAGCCCTACAGACTAAGGTACCTACACGATTAACCTGTGGGGAATCATTCAGAGTTGTGGAAGCCAAATCCATTTACACATCTAGTATCAGGCACATGCTTTGGGAATTAAACTGAAGAATCTTATCCTAGTGCCTGCCTTATAGATCCTATTTTCCAAGAGAATTCAGTCTTCCCAGGGACCAGACAGGATCCATGACTTCCCAACCCCCGGTAAGAAAATCACCAAAGGCACACCCAACCGCAGCTTTGTGATCTGGCTAAAACCCCTCTACTCTGCAATCCTAGAGGGCATCCCATCAGCCTGGGGAACCAATCAGAGAAGGTTTTTACCTACCAAAACCAGTTTGTAAAAATTGAAAGAGGTATCAGCTCTTTTAAATATACAGACAACAGTGTGAGGCTACATTGTGCCCACTCTCAATGTTTCTGTCTTAACATATTACCAGATGTTTGTATGAGAGCAATTTAAAAAATCTGAATTAAAAAGAAAAATGTTACTATTTGTAGATGACATGATCTTATATATAAAAATCCTTAGAGTATACTAAACTAACAAATGCATTCAGCAAAGTAGAATACAAAACAAACATACAAGTTTCATTTTCACACAGTAACAATACACTAACCAAAGAAATTTAACTTAAAATATTATAAGTATAAAATATTTCTCAGGAATACATTCAACAGCACAGATGAAAGATATCTGTACACTTAACATTATAAGATATTAATGACAGGATTTGAAGTAGACATAAACATTCCACTTTATAGACTAGAAGATTTAATATTGTTGAAATACCATATTAGATATCTAAGTTCTATCATTATCTATGTTCTATAATTTATAATCAATGTGAACCCTATCAAAATTTCAGTGACTTTTTGTTTGTTTGTTTGTTTTTGAGACAGAGTCTTGCTCTGTTGCCAGGATGGAGTGCAGTGGCATGATCTCGGCTCACTGCAACCTCCACATCCTGAGTTCAAGCAATTCTCCTGCCTCAGCCTCCTGAGTAGCTGGGACTACAGGTGTACAACACCACGCCCAGCTAATATTTATATTTTTAGTAGAGATGAGGTTTCACCATGTTGGCCAGGATGGTCTCAATCTCTTGACCTCGTGATCCGCCCACCTTGGCCTCCCAAAGTGCGGTAATTATAGGCATGAGTCACTGTGCCCAGCCTCCAGTGGCATTTTTTACAGAGTGAATAATTCTACAATTTAAGTGTAACAACAAAAAGCTCCAAAGAGCCTAAGCAAACATGAGAAAGAACACAGATAAGGGCATTATACTTTTTTGATTATCACAGTAATCAAAAGAATATGGTTTGTGCACAAAAACTGACACAAACACCAATGGAACTAAGAAGAGAGCCAAGAAATAAACCCAAGCATCCAAGCTCAATAAATCTTTGACAAGGACACCAAAAATACACAGTGCAGAAAGTATAATCTCTTCCATACGTGGTGCCGGGAAAACAATATTCACAAGCAAAACAACAAAATTAGATAATTTTATTATATCATACCCCAAAACTAACTCTAGATGAAATAAAGATTTAAATATAAGACAGAAAACCTTAAAACTTCTCAAATATATTAAAAAACATTGGTCTTAACAATAAGCTTTTTGGTATAACACCAAAAACATGGGAAGAAAGCCAGACATAAACAAGTTTGACTGCATCAAACTAAAGAGCATCTGCACAGAGAAGAAAACATACAAAATAGTATTTTTAAAACCCCAACAAACGGCAAGAAATATTTGCAAGCCATATACCTGGTAAGAGGTTAATATCCAAAATGTATGAGAAACTCATGCAACTGAAGACAAAACAACACTAATGAGGATGATAACGATAACTCAACTTAATAACAGGTAAAAGACTGAATAATGTTTTCCAAAGAAGACATACAAATGACTAGTAGGTACATGAAAAGCTGCTCAACATTACCAATCATCAGGCAAATGCAAATCACAACTAGGAGGAAATATCACCTCACATTTGTTAGAATGGTTGATATCAAAAAGAGGACAGATAAGAGTTGGCAGGAGTGTGGAGAAGGAAAACCCTGTACACTGTTCACTGTTGGTGAAATGTAAATTGGTAGATGTATAATGCAAACCAACATAAAGACTCTTCTTTTTCTTTTTTTTTTTTTCGAGGTAAGATTTTGCTCTGTCAGACAGGCTGGAGTGAAGTAGCATAATCAAGGTTCACATACAGTTTCGAACTCTAAGGTTCAAGTGATCCTTCCACTTCAGATTCCCAATTAAGTGGGACTACAGGCATGAGCCACCATGCAGGGCTAATTTTTACTTTTTTTTTTTTTTTTTTTTTTTTAAGAGACTGGGGCTCACTTTGTTGATCAGGCTCATTTTGAAGTACTGGGCTCAAGCAATCTTCCCATTTCCCACCAAAGTGCTGGATTTACAGGTCTGAGCCACTGTGCCTGGCTGAAATTCTTTAAAAAATTAAAAAAATAGAACTACCATATAATCTAGCAATCCCACCTTGGGGCATACAACCAAAGGCATTAAAATCACCATACTAAAGAAATATCTGCAATCCCATGTTTATTGCAGCATTCTTTACAGTAGCCAAGGTATGAAAATAATCTGAATTTCTATTGACAGATAAATAATAAAGAAAGGAAGGGATATAAACACAATAGATTATTACTAGGCCATAAAAAGAAGGGGATCCAGCCATTCACAATAACACTGATGAATCTGGAAGACATTATGCTAAGTGAAATAAGCCAGACATAGAAAGCCATCTCAATTAGGTAGAATCTAAAAAGGGGAACTTCTAGAAGCACAGTAAAATAATGATTGATCGGGCCTGGGAGTGGGAAAATGGGGAGATGTTGTTCAAAGTGCACAAATAGTTATAAGATCAATGAATTTTAAGAATATAATGTACAACAGGCCAGGCACAGTGGCTCACGCCTGTAATCCCAGCACTTTGGGAGGCTGAGGCGGGCGGATCACAAGGTCAGGAGATCGAGACCATCCTGACTAACACAGTGAAACCCTGTGTCTACTAAAAATTACAAAAAAGATTAGCCAGGCGTGGTGGCAGGCACCTGTAGTCCCAGCTACTCAGGAAGCTGAGGCAGGAGAATGGTGTGAACCCTGGAGGCAGAGCTTGCAGTGAGCCAAGATTATGCCACTGCACTCTAGCCTGGGCAACAGAGTGAGACTCCCTCTCAAAAAAAAAATAATAATAATAATATAATGTACAACATTGTGTCTATAGTTAATAACACTGTATTTTATTCTAAAATTTGCTACAAGACTAAATTTGTACTCTTAAGTTCAAGTGTTTTCACTATAAAAAAGTTCCTATGTGAGGTGACAGATATATGTATTAATTGTATTATTTCTCTCTATATATATGCATATCAGATTATTACATTGTACACATTAAATATATAGTTACACAACTTCTATTTGTCAAAAATCCAAATTACTCATACATAGAAATAAAGTAAGTCCTTACTTAACATTCACAAAAGGTTCTTGGAAACTTACTTTAAGTGAAACAATGTTACCATATGTCCTTCAAATTTAACTCTCAAATTACACAAATCAGCCTACAGTAAAATTGCTTTTCTTATAGAGTACACTCTTTTGCTTCAAGTCACGGTTCCCAAGAACCTACTGACAATGTTATGTAAGAACTTACTTTATACATATGTGTGTGTATATGGGTGTACACACCCCCACATCCCATGTATATATACATATACATACATATTCACATTTCACATTTTTATTTATATACGCATATATATAAACATATGTATGTGTGTGTGTATATATAGTACTGAATCAAAAATAAGTGGAGATTAATTTCAAAGCATTGTGAAAAAAGCATAAGACAATTAGAAAATGATAGTTACTGACAAGGTAAAAACTGAGAGTTTAATATACACACAGCAGTCTTCTAAGCTTTCCAATTACATAGTATATTTAAGAAAACCAGAAGGTAAATACATTAAAATATATTAACATTTTGGCATATTAAAAATTTCATTTATGTAAAAAAAGTGAAAATAACATTCAATTTTAGTATATTTGTTTTTTGTTTTGTTTTTGTTTTTTCTTTGAGACAAAGTCTTGCTCTGTCACCCAGGCTGGAGTGCAGTGGCACAATCTTGGCTCACGGCAACCTCCGCCTCCCGGGTTCAAGTAATTCTTCTGCCTCAGCCTCCTGAGTAGCTGGGACTACCACCACACCCAGCTGATTTTGTATTTTTTTTTAGTAGAGATGGGGTTTCACCATATTGGCCAGGCTGTTCTCAAGCTCCTGACCTCATGATCCGCCCGCCTCGGCCTCCCAAAGTGCTGTGATTACAGGTCTGTGCCACTGCGCCTGGCCTCAATTTGATTATATTTAAGTAGATGCTTTGTTTTCTGATAAAATTACTGAGTAAGAATTTTTGTAGAACCACACTTGTAACCTCTATATGATTAAAAATCATAAAGCAGAAGACATGCAACATCCATTGCCGGTGTTCTTAAAATTTCTGAACAAAATCCCTATTATCTGCACTACTCACCTCACATATTTTAGACAGGATGAAAAAACAGAACTTGAGAAAAATTTTGCATAGAGTTTCTCAAAAATATGCAGATATTTCTGTGTCCCCCAATGCAATGGAAGAGCAGCCAGATTATGCAATCCCTTACAAGCTATAAAGCAAACTTTGGCTTTCACTGTAAACTTGAAAGATCACTACAGAAAATGTAGAATCCTTACAGGATTCAAAAGCATGGGACAGAAGATGTTTCTCCGTGTGAATATGAAAACAACCCAAAATTCTCAGGAATCACTTTTATTGGAGTGGAGCTTCCAAAACCACATAAAGATCTAGCTATCTTCCTTACCTTTGGGCCTCTGGCATTACTTTTTCTGCTCATTCATTCCCACCTACCTGGGGGTTTGGCTGCTGTCTCCTGTCTCCTCACATGGCAGGGCTCTTTTCTTTACTCAAGACAGGTGATCAGATTTGCCTTAGAGACAGTGAGATCTGTTTTATAGAAAAAAACTAACATAACTCTTGCTGGGAATTCTTTAATTACCAAACTTGTACTGTGTTTAGTACAAAATAAGTCAAAAAATTTTGCTTCCTGAAAGAACCTTTAGAATATTTAAAAAGTATTTTAAATCTGTGAGTCCTTAATTCCACTACTCAGTAGTACTGAATCCAAAATAAGTGGAGATTAATTTCAAAGCATTGTGAAAAAAAATAAAACAAATAAGTAGAGAAAGCTGAAGTTGAAGATGTTTGTAACAATATTTTATACCACAGAATATATAGAACTACAACTAATCTAGAGTAAAAGATAAAGATTGGCTCAAGAAAACAAAGCCTCATGTCAAGATGAAAATCTTGAAAATTTTATTTTGTACACCAACATACCCCAATTTTTCCATAAAACAGGAAACTGAATTCATTTATCCAAAACAGAAGTTCCCAATATATATATCCACAAAATATATATATATAATTCTCTCTATATATATATAGAAACCTTAGGGTGTATTGGAAATCTTGGAGAGAAGTTATCCTTACCCAGAAAAACCAGGTTTCTGTAGTTCTTAAACATCACATCCCTATACAAATTCTGCTGAGCAGGGTCCAGGCATTCCCATTCCTCTGGAGACAATTCTATGCCCACATCCCTGAATTTCAACAGTCCCTGAAGAAAATTAAAAAAAAGAAAAAACAAACATTAATAAGTGGCAGAGCTCTTTATTTGACTTGATTCAGGTGAAATGAATAAAGAAAACTAGTTCTGACTTATATGAAGGTAACTTTTAACACTGTTATACTCTCCAACTCTGAGGAAAGAGGACGGCATAAGGTCCATGAAATCTGTACAGATAATGGATTTTTCTGGATGATACAGTATAAAATCTGGGCACCAACACAAGCATATAAATTTTTGACTGCCATATTAACATCATAGGGGATAAGCAATAAACATCCCTTATACAGAGAAGTCATGGTGAGTTCGATAATACCTGACGTTTTAATTTGTACAGGGAACTGAAGATCTTGTTAAAATGCAGACTCTGATTCAGGAGATCTGTAGTGGGGCCTACGTCTCTGCACTTCCAAAGGGCTCTCCAGTAATGCCAATGCTTCTGGCTCAAGAATATTTTGTCAAACATCAATTGAAACCTTTAGAGAGTTTTTAGTGGTAGAGACTGGATATTATCTACATTTATCTGACCAGTAAAAAAAAGTTTAAAGCCTTCATTTTCCAAAGCAAACTTTAAGCAAAGAGAGACTAAGAAGAAAGGGGAGCTCCTGGAGCAAATGTGATGGTGCACTTTAACGAAGTAAACAAAATAAACATATCTGTAATAGGAACAGTTAGTATCAGGTGCTGATGTAAACAAGGGACTACATCACTGTTGTAATATTGTCAGTCAAAAAATCTAAATCATAATCTGAATCTAATCATAAAAAGTTAGTTTATTGGAAAGGCCATGCCACATATATTTCCTATGTACTGTAATCCTTAATAGTATATTTAAATAGTCTAGCATCTTAGAAAGCAAGTCTCTTCTAATTCTTCTGTTTCAGAATTTTCAGTTATCAGGGGGAAAATTAACATCATCCTACTTAAATGTACATTTCTAAATTCTATTCTGCATAGAGCTGATGGTGTATCCAGATGGAACTAAACAGTACATATTCTTCTTCACTGATATCTAAGTACCTGACCCCATCCCTAATAGGAATTTAAAATATCCATACCTTGCAATGTTTGTCACAAATAGAACATTTTTAATATTGCAGCTTATATATTTGTAAGGAAAACTAGTCATGGCATATAAAAAGCTTGGATAAAAAATGGAGAGAGGACTCTGGTATATAGAGATGTATTTTGCAGAGGTTCTTGATGATCATAAAATAAAAAAGTAGATAAACTTGTTAGGTAAGAACAACATAAGTACATAAGTAAAGATTTGTAACTTCTAAATACACGACATTCCAGAAGGAAAAGTGGACACAGCACCTGACTTGGGACACACTTTCCTGAGAACTAGACATTTCTTCCTGTTCCTTCATGGGATTTATTTCAACTGAACTTACCTGAACAAATCACAGCACAACCCCTTCACCTGCTACCACTACACCCACAGACAGAAGAATCTTGAGATGCAGTAAGTTGCACCTGCTCTGGTCTTTTGTAACAAGACATATTCAGGAACAATCTTTTTTCCTGCCCTTCCTCACCACAGACTCCAGCAATTTCTGCTACAGCAATGGAAATATGGGCCACACTGACTTGCACCCAGGAAACCAAAGCAGAGCAGGACCTGTGAACTCCCTTGGGAAAAAAAGGCTGACGTCTACTCTCCTAAATGTATCTGGGAGCCCTCTTGCTTGATCCTGGCCTCACCTTTGAATCATTTGCAGGCACTTAATTTAAAAAGACGAATGCTTAACCCAGACCAACGGACAGAATATGTGAAAAGGGCATAAATAAGGGTATTTCTTCAAGCTAGCCATGCGATCCTACTGGAAGCCTGGGCTGAGAACCCCTTAGCATTTGCCTCTCAAGCTTCAGTGTGCATATAAATTACTAGGTATTCAATGTGCATATATATTAGGTATTCACTCTAAGTAATATGATTCTGCAGGTTTAGAAAAAGTCTACATATTGCCATTGTTAACACATCCCCTGTTAATGTTAATGCTACTCCCTCAGACCCATCATAGCAGCACTAAGCCAGAGAAAGTGCCCACAGCACAGTCCTTTACAACCAACACTTATTTAATTTTTACTCAATTTATATTAACCTTTCTTATGATGCTGACACACTAAATACTTTTATCACAACAAATACTTATCTTCTAGAATAAAGACCACCACTCACCATCCTGAAACATGACATTTTCTGCTGGTCCATTAAAGTTCAGGGAGGCTAAAGAAGGCAGCAATTTCTGAGTAAGTCTGCATTTGAAAAACGACACGTACACATGCATTAATGCAATGTCTCTAGAGCATGTGCCAAGTGCACAGGAGTATTCTACAGAGCACTGTGCTGAGAAACTCACACTATATGAGTTAACCCTTATAATACCCTGGGAGGTGGGTACTAAGTGTCCCGCAATTCTCAAAATTTAGATGAAAAGCTCAGCCTATTTTTAAAACATTTTTTAAAAATGCATACAATAAAAACTCAATATAGAAAGATGGGAGGGGTATAGGAAGAGTTAAGTGTAGTTCCGAAAGATGTTTATTTGTCTTTACTTTCTTGTTACTTGTGGAGCAACTACTGAATCCACACGAATGGAGAACAGACTGCTGAGTAGGTTCCCTCTAGAAGCACTGGTTTAAATACATTAAAAAAAAATTAAGGCGCACAAACATACAGTATTTTGCTCCCATTTATCTGCTCTTTGGTTTCAGAAAACAGCTCTGCAGGAACAGCAGGAACAGCCCCCAAAAACTCTGACCTTGAATCAATTTGTGAAAGAAGACTCTAGGGTTGGGTCAAACCTGGACAAAGCTCAGAAGAGAGTGGATCTAGGCAAGGCTGGGGCTGGAAGTGGGCTATTGGGAGAATTTTGATCTCTAATGCTGCTTTTTTCTTTTTTTTTTCTGTTTTTCATTCTGCCTGTTCTAAGCCTGCTCAAAAGAAAACTGACTTCCAGCATTTGTGTAATTTTACTCCATTTTAGGCACTTCCCTGTCCATTTTATAACATAAAATAACAAGTAATTTAACCAAAACACTTGGGATTTTGTAAATTTTATTAGAAGCTAAGTATTTATTTTTAGCAAGGTAATAGGAATAGAATAATAATAACTCTTCTGTCCAGGAAAACCCTTTCATGTTACTGATGGTAATATCAGAATTTAAAACAGTCAAAGGGAAGTGGTATAAATGGTGCCAAAGTCCACTGTAAACCTCCCTTCTTTGTATTGACATAATGCTGAATTAAACCATTTGGTCATGTGCTTGAGACTAAAAGTTCCTGGATGGCTCACAACTGCTTCATCTGTTTTTCTAATGACTACATGAAATGGAAACAATTGGTTTATTAATGAGTTTGAGTCTTTAGGTGTCCTTGTATTTCAATTACCTGGAAACTGAAGCAACCGCCATCTGGGCACCAACCAATCAGATTCCTTCTGTGAGGGGTGGAACAAACCCTGGATGACTCATTTTTCTCCCTCTAAAATGGGAGAATTAAGCCCTGTTTTCAGCCTGACTCCAGTCTGCATAGGACATCCCATATGGTCCCAGGTGTTGGTGAGAGAGTACCCAGTGAGTCTGGGCTGATGCCCCCATGATGATCCAGGCAAAGGGACTTGGTCTGATTCCGTAGGGCCAGAACTAGAAATGGCACTGTCCTGGTGCAGCTATGTATCATGAATCCTGGTGTAATATCACCTGTCCCTGATCCAGTAACTCTTGGTTAAGAGGAAAAACAATACCCTAGTCAGGTCACACAGTTCACAGGTCTGGATATTCATGGGTCTGGACCTCCCACTACTGAAGTGCTGGATTATAATTACAGATTCTGCCAAGTGATTCTGTTTATACCAGGAGCCTCAAACAAAACTGCAGCAGAAAATCAGACAAGATCTGGAAAATTTAAATGGTCCAACTCTAAAAAGTGGGGAGGCTTTACAATGTCTCTGTTAACCTCTTATGATGTAGAAAATGTCTCCCCTTGATTTTCTGTACATCCTCAATCCAAAGTCTGACCCTGCCTTGTGAATCCCAGGCAGAGGCCAGTCCCTATGTGCACATTCTAAGTGAGATCAATCTGGCTGTGTATTCTTGGCTGTTACAGCATGGAGAAAGAAACTAGAAGAGAGATAACTTCATGGAGGCTGCTCTAACATATATGGAAGATTGCCAAAACCTACATTCAGAATTTGAAACTGCAGATTTAGGATTTGGAGAAGATGGAAAGCAATAGGTACTCTCTTCATATCTGTCAGCATATGGGCAGGAAGAAGGGGGAAAAAGTTGAGATTCTCAAGCTAATCAATCTGTATGTGTGATCCTGATGTATGTGGGTTTCTGAGTCCCATGGTTTCTGAATTAGTTTCAGGTCTGAAGATGCCAAGGGCATTAAAAGAGGTGGAATAACTGATCATTGTCCTATGAAGTTATTTCTGTAGAAATCTTGTCTAATTGTTCTAAAAGGAACCATAGATACCAAATAGAGAAGTCATTCCAATTGTAGATTTTGAAAACATGCACTTTTGCTGCACAATTGTGGGTTGTGACTGAAAGCTTGAGAGGAAAAGGCCCATCTAGCCTGGTGAACACCTTATATGTTTATATTATGTCTGGTAATTTTAGACAGTGTTTGAAACTCTAACTTAAAACCACATTATCTCCAACCCCAGAAAAACTCTCCATAATGGAGGAACAGAAAGAAAGCTGTTTTATTACACAGTTAAACTAGAATGTGACATGAATCACAGGCAATCTGGTAAGACGTTTCAAACAGAAAAAGAAAGGTTGTCATAATTATTCCTCAAATAGAAGGCTTGACAGCATCATTTGCCATACATATTTATTCTAAATAAACCTGGTAATTAAGGAGGCCATCTATTTGCTAACTGGCTATATTCAAAGGGAAAATTCTTCCCCAACATCTTCGTAAGAGGAGGTTGTTTTGCAACTTGGAGCCTGGTGACGGTAGGCTCCTACTCTTCACAAAAACAGTGGGAGACGGTTTCTATTCTTGGCTACTTATATTTTAATACAATCATTCCCGGGTCTTAGATAAAGACAATTCTGAGTAAAAAAATAATGGCACTACTACTCAGCAATGAAAATGAACAAAATAATAGCATTTGCAGCAGCCTGGGTAGAATTCTAAGTGAAGTAACTCAGGAATAGAAAACCAAACACTGTATGTTCCCACTCATAAGTGGGAGCTAAGTTATGAGGATGCAAAGCCATCAGAATGATACAATGGACTCTGGCGACTTGGCAGGGGGAAGGATGGGGGGGTGAGAGATAAAAGACTGTAAGTTGGACATACTGTATACTGCTAGGGTGATGGGTCTACCAATATCTCAGAAATCACCACTAAAGAACTTATTCATGTAACCAAACACTATCTGTTCCCCCAAAACCTATGAAAATAATTTTTTAAAAAAAGAATGGCAAATAGCTGATTTAGCTGCTAACATGATTTACATATATTTCAAAGAAGTAGAGAAAATATTTACATATAAACGTTTTCTAACATAAATGCTTGAAGAAATGAGAACAGTGTAAAGCCTATTCCTTATTGGAAACTGGGTCTCACTCTGTCAGCCAGCCTGGAGTGCACTGGTGTGATTATGGCTCACTGCAGCCTCAACCATTCTGGACTCAGGTGATCCTCTCACCTCAGCTTCCTGAATAGCTGAAAATATAGGTATGTGCCACCACGTCCAGCTAATTTTTGTATTTTCTGTAGTGGCTGGGTTTTGCCATATTGCTCAGGCTGGTTTCGAACTCCCAGTGTCAAGCAAACTATCCCCCTTGGCCTCCCAAAGTGCTGGGATTACAGGTATAAGCCATCAGGCCCAGCTTCTTTCATTATTTTAAAGTGAAAGAAGCCTATTTTTTCTCATTTGTATTTGCTCCTACAACAAGAGTGAGGTCTAGGGCCATGGCTTGAACTCATAAACATCTGAATTCCAGTAGGCACTGGATTCAGGCACCTAAAAAACGTCCTTGGGCACACAGTGTGGACGTCAAAGAAAAAAGCAGGAAAGGAAAGTGCTGTCAAGGACTGTGAGTGGGGGACAGTTTAAGAGTTTTTGCAAAAACTGGACACTGGCTCCGGTGCACCTATGCTCTGACATTTCTGTGTCCGTGCAGGCAGAAGAAATTACCTTGAGTGGTCCAGAAGCCTGGGTGGGTGGAGAGACTAGGTTGCTGCTACAGATTCAGTGTCTGTGACTGGGGATAAGACAGGAGCCCTCCAGGCACCTGGATGGGGAATTGGTGGGGAAATTTAGGGACAAATGTGCTGCGGGTACAATTCCTGATGGTAAATCTAGTTCTAGGAAGGGCATGGCTGCATCAATGCCTAGGCAGTATGTTCATAACTGCGAGAAAAATCACATGGTGGCAGCTGTAGAGGGAGGAGTCTGTCCTCAGAACTTCTTCCCTCTGTCTTCAGTCCCCTCTCACCCTGAGGGGAGCCCTGAAATCACAGGACAACATTCAGGGTGACCGCCTGTGTGCAGGACAACAGAGCCCCCTTTCTCTGAGAGAACCAGAGTCTCCCACTAGTTAAGGCCTCTGTGATGTCTTTTTCTGACGCGAAGTATGTAGACTTTACTGAACACCAACCAATTCTCCAACACAAACTGGGTGTCTAACAATGCATTTCTGACACCACACATGGTCAGCACAGGTCTCACAAGTTCGGAAGTCAATTCTGCAACACTGGACCCTCTGTAGATGCCAGTCACATGCCTCCAGATAATAGTAACATGCACTCATCTATACTTCTGTGCTACTGCTTGTACACTGGAGACTCATAACTGCCTCGCCTCAAGTTCAATAATTTGGTAAGACTACTCACACAACTCAGCAAACACTATACTTTTGTTTACCAGTTTATTATAAAAGATGCAACTCAGGGCCAAATGAAAGATATCTACAGGGCAAGGCCAAGTGCTAGGGAAAGATGTGGCAGGTAGGTAGTCCTGGTGAACAGCTGTGATTAACAAAATTTCCCATTCTTTGTGTTCCCCAGTAGCAGCTCAATAAAAAGTAATGCCTTTTCCATTTTACTTAGATAATGCTCCCTTTTTAACCTACCACAAAGCCAGACACAATGTGCAAATGCCCATTTTTTTGTCTTACAATCAGCTCAACAATTTTGTCTTCAGTGGTCAAAGTACAGTAATTGTTAACCAAACTGTGCTTAAGGTTCTCCCCTTCCCTATGTTACAGGTAGTGAGACAGCAAGAGTGGGGCAGGAGAGGGCTCTTCTCCCCCTGCCACTAGGAATGTCAGGTGGTGGCATTATCATTATCACACTGTCTCTTTAAAAATGATAATTTGGCAGCTGGTGCCAAGGACAATCTCCTGATGATCCACAGCTGTTAACATGGAAGTGTTAATTGAATGCAGGTGCCAGGGGGAAGCAACTTCTTCCGCACTTCCCTTAAAAGACAAAATGGGGGTGTGTGATGTTCTGGGGGCTTGCCACTAGAAAAGGGAGGAAAACCTCAGCTAAGCATGTGTACAACTTCCTAAGCACACTGCGCATGCTCACCTTCAGAAGGTAAAAAGGGCAATGCCATGTGGCAGCCCATCCTGAGGGACAAATTATGGGAAGGAAGCCAGCCTATAAAGTCCTAGAATGAAGGCTGAAAACTTGTTCTCTAAGTGTTCTCTCGCATATGTTCTCCAAGTCCCCCACTTGGATCTCTTCCAAATGTTCTCTCCTGTTCTAAAGGCTTTTTAATAAATTTCTACTCCTGCTCTGAAACTTGCCTCAGTCTCTTGTTCTGCTATAAGCCGCTTAGTCAAATTCTTTCGTCTGGGGAGGCAAGAATTAAATCGCTGCAGTCCTGTACGGATACACTGCCAATAACTCGACTTCCTTCCACAGGAAACACACAGACCCCTGAACTTTGACCCACCCTCACCCTGAGCTGACATACAATCATTCTTTATGACACTCCTAAGAACAGGTCGACTTCATGAGAAGACATTTTCTGATCTAGAATATGATTTTGCCACTCTCCATATTGCACTCCCACCTTCTAACCTTGTTTGCTCCTCCCTGAGAAAGCAAGCCCATTTCAGCCTAATCTTTCAGATGCTTGCAGATCTTATAGTTGTTGCCTTCAACCTACTAAAATACTCCTCAAAAAAAAAAGCCCCTCCCAACCAAAACCAAAATTATTTGTCAATACTTATAAACAACCCCAGGATAACAATTAGAACCTCAGGAAGGTCATGGCAGATCCCCTAGAATTCCAAACCAAACCAAAAGTGCTTTTGGACCCCTGGGCTTTCCAGGAATCTCCAGCTTTTCGTTATAAAGGCTCCTTTCATCGCTGGGGTGAGTGGCTGGAACATCTGCAGAGGAGACTCCCCAGGAAGAACTAACTGGGCTTTCTTTGCTTCGGCCTTAGCGTGGCGTCAATGGGATCAGGCCTCTGCTTCTCAGTGTTTGTCGCTTAACTGTAAATGAGGAAATACCAAGTGTTTGAGGAATGTAGCAAAAACACTCAAACTCAGTGTTATTATTAGAAATAATATTATTATAAAGAAAAAGTAAAAGCATCTATCCGTTTAAGGCAATAAACAGGTCAACTATTATTTCCATAACAAATACAAACAATCATATGTGAACTCTTGTAGAAGTTAACAAGTTCCATTTCATAGAATTGAAAACGAACACCCAAAGAATAGACGCAGAACAGAGTCATCCATTGTCACAAATTCTCCAGTCTACCAAAAACACATACACTGGTGCTTTGGTGAATATTTGTGTATCTGTAATCTATCAATTTGATTACCCCACTACTTTGTGAAAATACATTTATTTTTCTATGGCAATAATGAAAGATACTTTCTATTTACTTTCCTCAGGAGCACTTTCAAAGCTAATCCTTGGAATTGCATTTGAAATAACACTAACTCTCTCCCCACGCCACCCTGCAAAAGAAAAGAAAAGAAAAGAAAAAAACTGACCTCAGAAACAATATACTATTCAGGCTAAGAAAAAAGGTAAATAAGAATTTTTTAAAAAATGGAATATATGACTTTTGTTCTGAAATGAACACTTTATATGTTTGGGGACTTTTTTCTTATTTTTCAAGCTCCACTGAAAAAATTTATTTTATAGGCAATGAAAACTTAAGTTGAAATAAGTGAACAACAAATATTTTCAATGTGACAAACCCAGGAAGAAACAGTGCTGAAAGGAACATAGACTCATGTCAAACTGGGATATCCTATAACTTGAAAGATCCTCTCACCTCGACCCTGGTCACCGAAGTTCTCAATGACCATCCTCCTATGAGACACAGCATCTGCCCCCCACTGTGTGCCCTACATGAGTGATGTCTTGCAGGTTCTTTCACCTCTCACTGGGGTGAGTTTTCCTTTTTCTTTGGAATGGTTTTTCTCCCTTTACAAGTCTGAAAAAAAATCTAAACGGCAAAAATAATTTCTGTCTTTTCTCCTCAATACCAGCATCCAACTGGCTGCATGTGTCTCCAAGAATAAAAACTAGGGTTGAGGAACAAAATCTTCATGTCCCAAAATGTTAGCTTTTTACATGAAGGGTTTACAAGAAGATTCCTTTCAGCTTCAGGACATCCACCTGCTCCCTGTGAGGCTTCCATTCCCATACCTCAGGTGTTCTTCTAGATGACCCAGTGACTGATGTTCACTAGACACACCAAGAGGCATGGCCTCTCTGGGCATCTGTGTCACCCCGGACAGTTAAACCCAGGTCTAGGAAATGACAGGAGGGTGGCTGAGGACACATAACCCTGTAAAGTTTTTAAAGAGGAACCTCAATCAAAAGACATTCTGATAAGATGTCTGTCCCTAGGGAAGATAAAAAAAGAAGAGACATAAAGGCTTTATTCATAGTGGAGTGTTGCAGGACTACCCTACGCTTTTCTGTCATGTGAAATTTTACAAAGAGAAAACAAATCTTTAAAAAAGTGTCATCCACTGCTCTGTAAAAAAAAAATGTACAATAAAGGATAAATCATTGATAATGCCGTGGAGGAGATAGTAAGCCGGTATTTGAGAACATGAGGAAAATACTGGAAATTTAAGATTTTATTGCAAGCCCTAAAAGAATTAAGCTGGGAACATAAAGAGGTGGAT